TTCTCATTTTTTTCGTGCCAGCGGTTTACCGCGGCTGAAACGACGCGGTGGTTTCGTGCAAGCCACGTCACTTCGCCACTACCGCCACTACACAGCGAGATGGGGCGCAACGGTACCGGGTTATGGTGCGCGTCTGAGTTCCCACGTGTCACGTCGCGGCGCATGTCGCGGTTGGTTGACGTCATGCGGGATCGTCACATCGTGGGAAGGTGTTAACGTATGCATGTCGCGACGACATGCATATCTATACAGAATGGTTGCTCTCTCTCTCTCTCTCTCTCTCTCTCTCTCTCTCTCTCTCTCTCTCTCTCTCGGGAAGACAGACATACATAAAACGATGGCTGTCACTATCGTCGATGTCTTACGAGGTTGGAGTTAGACGACAGGCGTCTATCTCTCTGTCACCTAAGGCATCGGCGACAGCGACACGCGGTGAGTCTAATGGACACACCACTTTGACAGGGTGTTCGACAACCCCAACCCCACCCCCCCATCTTCCACCACCTCCTATCTTCCCTTACGCCGTTGTATGCCCTCCCTTCCGCCAACCCCAAACCCCTCCGCCCCCTACCCCCGAACTTGTAGTCGAACATATGTGTCCAAGACTGAATCGCCCCAGCATACCCCCTTCCACGAAGTCCTGGCGTGGATACCTCTCTCTCTCTCTCTCTCTCTCTCTCTCTCTCTCTCTCTCTCTCTCTCTCTCTCTCTCTTATATATATATATGCATATGTTTCATACGTCCGTTCGGAAAGAAGGAGAGAGAGTTTTCTTCGTCAAGACGTCCGTACGCTGCGTCAGCATCGCAGAGGGTAGAGAGAGAGAGAGAGAGAGAGAGAGAGAGAGAGAGAGAGAGAGAGAGAGAGAGAGAGTCTTCTTCGTCCTTGGTTGTTTTCTTCTTCTTTTTCGTTTTCGGTCTACAACTTCATTCTTCGTCTTGTTCTTCTTCTTCGTTCTTGGTGTTTTGCTTCTTTTTTGTTCTTCGTCTTCTTCTTCATCTTTCTTCTATTGCTCGTCTTTTTTGTTCTTCTTCCGCTTTGTCGTCTTTCTTCTTCTTCTTTCGCTTCTTGTTCGTTGTAGGTCTCCTTCTTCTTCTTTCTTCTTCATCTTCTTGTCCTTCAATCACTTCGTCGTCTTCTTGTTCTTGTTGTTTCGATTCGTCATCTTCTTCTTTGAGAGAGAGAGAGAGAGAGAGAGAGAGAGAGAGAGATGGCCGATGAAAGCGGCGCGGCGTCCCCACGTTCGACGACGCCATTGCCGTCGTTGTCTTCGTCAGCTGCGCATGGCAAGGGGGGGATTGGTGCGAACCGCGTTCCTGTGACGAATCCCGTGCCTCCGCCCGCCTCCCCATCGTCTCCATCAGCGCCCTCTGTCGTGTTTGGGCAATCAAGCACGGACACAGCCGTGCATAATGCGGAGGGATGGGGGGACCTTCTGCAAGGTCTGCACGAGCTGAATGGTGGTTGGGGGGGCGATCCGAAGCGAGGTCCGATCGGTTGGGAGGCCATAGCCGCCACGTACTCGCGCTTCCCTGCATGGGCATTCCCCCGTCCGCCAAACGGTCACCTGCTGTCGCCTCCCACCATCGATGACGAAGGGGGAGGGGGTGACGATGGCGGCGATGACGAAGGGGGATGGGGTGAAGATGGTGGCGATGAGGAGGGGGAAGGGAGTGCAGATGGCGGCGATGAGGAAGGGGGAGGGGGTGAAGATGGAGGAGACGATGACGGAGGGGATGGTGGCGTTGGAGGTGCAATTTTTTAGGCGGTATAGAATTATATCTTTTTGGTTATTTTTTGTTTTTTTTCGGCGTTCATTTACGAAATGATGGAAGGGAGATGGTGGTGATGGTGGCTTCTTTGGTCGTGCTTTCCGTGGCCGGCACTTTCGTGACGGCGTATAAGGCATCCATTGCTGCGCCGTGTGTTGTAAAAAGGGCGGTGGTCGTTTTATGTAGCAACAATATTTTGTTCAGAAATTGCAGGGTTTTTTTTTTCGTCGTCCTTCGTGTAGGAATTTATGATATGGCAGCCATAGCTGCCACGTGGCTTTTTATGTAAGAATTATGGACACCGTGCCTGCTAGTTTTACGACGGCGGATAAGGCAGCCATAGCTGCCACGTGGCTTTTGAAGAGTTGTACAAAAGGTCACAAACATATATTTGTGAACGCAAATGGGGACACATATAGTTTGTTCTTGCAATATTTTTTCACACTTTTATTTGTGTTATTTCAAATATTTAGGTTAGAAAATGTTAATATTTCATGCTGCACGCATGTGATAACAACAAATAATGGTAACGCCCTGTTTTGTTTTTCGCCGTGACGATTGTTGTATCATTATTTAAAATTTTTTTTTTTTTTTTTTGGGTTTTTCGTGAACACAATGTGAACGGGATTGTAAAGTTATGATGGGTCGCAAATATGAATGCGGTTGGAAACATTTTAGTATTCGCAATATTTTTTAAATTGTTTTTTTTTCTTGCTCGTATTTTTCCTTCTTCGGCTTATAAGGACAGAGGGAGAAGACGATAATAAACGACGGGGCTGTAACAATTTGTTACATATATATATATATATATATATATATATATATATATCGTCAAATAGAACTGCCCGGTAAACCGTAGGCAGAGAGGGAGAAGAGGACAACAAACGAGGGGCTGTGATAAACTGTTTCGTCGGAGTTTCACCGACTCATCA